TCTGCGTCTTTCATCCATCCGCCGCGCTTTGTTTCTGTCCTCTTTCACCCTTTTGTGTGATCGATGTGAGGGCCAGGCCCAACATCTGGGTTGCTAAACAGCAGCTGCTGTGGCATGTGCGGCCCATTAAAACTTAGTGATGTGGCAGTTTTTCTCACTGGGTCATGCTGACCTGCAGTTTTGCAGGATTTCAGGGAATGCAACGCTCAGGAGGTATTCCCTTACCTTTTGCCTTCCGGAAAGGAACCACGCAGTCGGTCCTTGCATGTCTCCAATTATTGGAGACGACTGGGAATAATTTGACTGTCCAGACCCAGCTGTAATGTCTGGTTTGGACAGCACTGTCTACCTTTTTTCGCCCTACAGAGTGGACCTCCCGGAGCAGTGGAAACCAAGGCCACCCAAGTCCTGCTGGGTTTAACAGGCGCTGTGTGTGTGTGTTCGTGCGTGCGATAGCCTCATCTACAGTAACTGTCCACACACACACACACACACACACACACACACACACACACACACACACACACACACACACACAGAGCCAAGGCTCTGATCTCAGCCAGGGAAGCCTGCACTCAATTTAAGACAAAAGGGAGACAAATGGATGCAAGGGGGAGGACCCACAGTAGATGATTTTCCTTTGTTGTTCATCCGGATTCACGACCCTGACTCAGTCCACGAATACTCGTGCCATGTAAAATGTGTTTTTCAGACAGCTGCGGGAGGAGCGGATGATGAAATAGTCGCAGCAGGGGGCAAGCTAAACGATTTAGCAGCCATGTTGGCACATCACTAAGCCAAGACTTGATCAATCAAAGAGGAGCCTAACGTCTGGGGTTAGGGTCGGAACAAAGTGACAAAACACACCCACATAAGGAAAGGTGGATCTGTGGTGGTTCCCCAATGAGCGGCAGGTCACGCCACCCGCGAAGCCCCAGCCGAACAGAAGCCTTTAGCTGAAATAGCGAGAAACCGCAAGTGACTCAATGTGTTGATACAGAGAGGAATCGCAGCCCTAGAATACGGCCTCAATTCACAGCCCGATACCAGCAGGACCGGGGAGTGAAGACAAAATCCTTGTGGCGACAAGTCTCAGCATAAGTCTCCAAAACATTTCTTCTGCTACCGCTGGAGAAAACACAATCAAAGGGGTGAGTAACAGAAGAGGTAATCATTACTAAAGAAGGCCTGTGTTGCCAGAACGAGCACACAGAAGTGAATAATGATCTTGATAACAACCTGTTGTTTTTTCTTTTCCTCTCTCTCCAGTAAAAAAAAGAAAAAGAAAAGGCCTTACTGGAAGAGGGGATTATGATGTCCAAAAGAGTTAAACACTCCAGATTTTATGGGCCCATCAAAGAACAGAAGGGGGGGGGGGGGGTTTTTCGGATGGTTAAGCAAGCCCCGGAGGTGAGTCACCGGAGGGGAAAAGGGGGTGGGCAGGGTTGGTGGGTAAGTGCTCCTGGGGGGCTGCTGGGGAGGTAGATTAGGGTGGCGATATGTGTCCCCTTCGAAATACGTGTTTGGGGGGGGGGGGGGGGGGTAGGAAGGTCGTTCAAGGAACACCGTTCAAGGAAGCGAGCCCTTTTGTTTTTGAAGCACCAAAGTGAGACGCTGCTGTTTAGTTCAGCTGCAGTTATTTTGGAGTGTGTCTGAAAACACACACACCCGACACTTTTTTTTTTTTTTTTCTTTTTACTGCCTTTCTGCACTGCTTTTTCCCTGACTTTCACAATATCTCATGTGGCTTTTGTGTAAATGCTAAGAGTGCACGCTTGTAATTGTTTTACAATGATGCATGATGAACAGCCTTCGGAAACTATAGCGCTATAAAAAGCCCCTAGGGGAACCATTCAGTGAAATAATCCATTACTCAAACATTTAAAACGGTCTTTAATCAAACCTGGTTAGCACAAAGTTCTGATTAACACCTTGGTGCGATGACGTATTTGGTCCCACAAAAAAACCCCTCAGAGACAGGAAATGCAAACATCTAGCCGAGGTTTTTTGTGACAAAAACAAGCCACAGAGGCCGGTGTGAAATGAGTCAAGCGGCGCCGGCCTCTTTTAAAAGATTAGAATCCTCCTTTAAGGAGGGGAAACAGCCGGTGGTCACCACATCCAAGTGATCTCAAACTGTTCCGCTTGAACAACACACAGATCTGTTGCTCCACTAGAGCTCGCAGTACCAGGGGCACCAGATGAATGGGCAGATACAAGTTCTTTGTGACAAAGTTTTGTTATGGAATCCGCCGATTCTTCTGAGAAAAATAATATGTTCCTTTGTTATTGCCGAAAGAACAATTTTAAAGATATTCCTTCCAGTGAGAAGTGGGCTGGTTTACATAATTAGGGCCCGAGCAACCGACAACGTCGGGCCAGCGAGGCCCTATTGAAACTGTAGTGGTTATTATTAGGGCCCGAGCTACCGACAACGTCGGGCCGCGAAGGCCTTATTGAAACTGTAAGGGGTATTGTTATTATTAGGGCCCGAGCAACCGACAACGTCGGGCCAGCGAAGGCCCTATTGAAACTGTAGGGGTTATTATTATTTATTAGGGCCCGAGCAACTGACAACGTCGGGCCAGCGAAGGCCCTATTGAAACTGTAGGGGTTATTATTATTTATTAGGGCCCGAGCAACTGACAACATCGGGCCAGCGAAAGCCCTATTGAAACTGTAGGGGTTATTATTTATCAAATTTATTTTACGTAAAGGAACGCATTTTTGGGATACTTGCCATGCATGAAAACTCACCAAATTTTGGACACTTGTCAGGTCTGGTGAAAATAGCCATCTGAAAAAGGATGCATGTCTCTGTGTGTAAAAATGGCTCTCTAGCGCCCCCTACAAGTCGGACCGGTGACGCCCCTCGGCCAGTATGTCCAATTGACTTGAAATTTGACACACATGTCCGACTCCGCTAGATCTAAAAAAAAGCCTCTCAGACCCCTAAGCTCCGCCTACTTAGATTTTCCGCCATATTGAATTTAGTGAAGAACACATATTTGCAAGCCTGTCCTACATGCTGAGTCTGATTGCTACCAACTTTGCTGTGGATCATTATTGGATCTACGTCATCAAAAGTTATCAAAAGCTTTTTGATAACTCTTTTTCGTTTAGAAGATATGGACCAATAAACTTCTTAGAGGCGTGGCTTAATATCAATACACATAACTTCTCAACCATTTGTCCTAAAATTACAAAATTTGCAGCATATGTGCACATCGCATCCTGTAACATACCCTGAGAATTGTTTTGCATTCAACCACTAGGGGGCGCTACAGCAAACCCACGAAGTTGTGCTTTTTGTCACTTTTTGCAGATTTCAGCCTTCGTATTTTAACGAACTCCTCCTAGAGAATTTATGCGATCAACTTCTCCTTTGGTCATGATGCTCTTAAGACCTTTGTGATTAAAAGTTATCAAAATCGCACGCTTTCATCGAAGAACCTTGACGTGGCGTGGCGGCCATTTTGCCTCATTGTTTTTGAAAAAATAAGTTCTTATAAGTTGTTATAACTCCAAGGTACATTGTCCAATCCGCACAAAACTTCTTATGCTTATGCATGATGCTACTTCAAGCTTGAACATAGTTCAATTGAAATAAATTCAATAACTCATAGCGCCGCCTACTGGCTAAAGGAAATGTCATATTCTATACTTTTATTTACACCTCCTAGCCAGGTGACTTGATGAGTTTCAAATTTGGTAAGGATAGCCTTAAGACATTGATGATAAATCGCCATGAATATTGTGAGTTTTCATTCCACGCTGTTGCCGTGGCGACGCATAGTTTGCCATGAAAAAGGAAGCTGATGGTTTAGTGGGTTGTGATGCTCAAAAACTCATGGAACTTTGTACATGTGTCACAGGTCATTGGAAGAAATAGTTTATATGATTTTCTTTATGGGCCGTTTTAAATTGCCTCTATAGCGCCCCCTACAATATTTCAAAAGAGCAGCCCTAGCACAACATTTTGGCTACATGTATGAAACTTGGTAGGCACATGTATCCTATGGAGACTTAAAAATAAGTCTCTTGGGACCATGCTCTAAACCCTACCGGAAGTCGGCCATTTTCAATTTTGTATGAATTTATACAATATTTCGACGATGCAGCCCTCGCAGTACGTTTCACTATCTATATATAAAATTTAGATGTATAACATTTGGTAAACAGATGTATCACTTACAAAAAAGCCCCCGGAGCTCCAAGCTCTAAACCCAACCGGAAGTCAGCCATTTTGAATTTAGTGAAAAAAAACACATTTTTGCGAACTCCTACACGCTGGGTCCGATTTCTACGAAATTTGCTGTGGATCATAAGTGGATCTAGATCATCAAAAGTTATCAAAATATTTTTGATATCTCTTTGCGTTTACAGGATATGGACCAATACACTTCTTAGGTGCGTGGCAAAATATCAATACACATAACTTCTCAACCATTTGTTCTAAATTCTCAACCATTCTCAACCATTTGTTCTAAATTCCCAAAATATTCAGCATATCACATCACATCCAGTAACATATCCTGAGAATTGTTTTGCATTCGACAACTAGGGGGCGCTACAGTAAATCCGCGAAGCCTACTGGCTAAAGGAAATGTCTGATGTAACTCAGCTGGACTTGTTCCAAACGGTCCCAAACTTCACATGCTTGATAACACTCATGGCCTGAGGATGTATACAAGCTAATCTTCCCTAATACTCACAGCGCCACCTGCTGGCGAAAGGAAATCTACGTTTTTTGACAAACACCAACCGATTTACATGACTTTTACACAATGTGGTTTACATTTGACACAGAGCTACATGATGCATGTTTGCACGTGTTCTGTAGCGCCAGGCAGCGGATACAGGAAGCATTGGACTATTTGCAAAGCATCATTTCCAGCATCAGGCGGTCCACGCGGGATTAAATCCGTCTCACTCGCGGTCGCGCCATCAGACGGTCGCGGACGTTCTCGGACGCGCAGGCCGGAGTCCCGCCAGCACCCCGACACGCTGCAGATTGCGAGGGCCCGTTCATCGCTGCTCGCAGCTTTAATTTTCTCTTTAAAACATGTTCCTTTTAACGAATACCACCAGCCTTCCTCTCAGTCATAAGTCATAACCTACTATTGAAGAAAAAAAATACATGTGACTTTTTTTTGTCATTAATAATTCTATATTTGAATTATCTAAAATATTACAAAAATATTACATAACAATTTATTTTATTTAAATATGTTTAAAATATCTATATATACACATTTCCATCTCTAGAGCATTACCGGAAATGGTTCAAGCTTCTCATACGATATGAAGATTTGAGGATATCTCGAGCTCATATCACTGCAAATAAAATATCTTATTGTGATGGGAATTTTCATAATCTTTGGACACTATACAGACCAAACAATGAATGAAATAACTTAAAACGTAGTCAGGAAACATATCTGAATCCAAATGCTATTGCCAACAAGCTAATATGCTCACAGTGGCAAAACTAAACATGCTGATTTTAACATTGTTTGGTCTAAAAGAAAGGCAGAAAACTGTGAAAAATTCCTGATTTCCTAAGGCTCTGCTGGAAAAATTACTTAAACGATTAATAGATTATAAAAAATAGTAAATTTTCCGTTGATCGTCTAATCACCGAACAGTTTCAGCTCTAGAACACAGTATTGGACACATTTTTAAAAATGACCTGATGATGGCCCTTGATGATAGGTTAATGGATCACCAAAGTGATTCCAATTTGTCCTGAGGTGAACACGAACACAACTTTGACATTTCACTAAAAAACACCAAATGTCAAACTCATGGTGGCGCAAGAAGAAAAATCAGGGTATCATCGCAGTCGGCAGGATTTATCCTCTGAGGACCAGGAATGTCTATACATAATTTAATGGTACTAGTTGTTGAGATATTACAGTCTGGACCGCAGTGTCGGACAGAACGATTAACTGACTGATATTGCGATGCCTAAGGCCATGCCGCTAGTGTGGCTAAACATGCTAAGGATGGATCTGGTTCAATCCACTAAAATGTGACGATGTGCTAATTTCACTAACGTCTGATATTTTTTAACTAAAAATGATTACCATATATCTGTATGTATCATGTCACGCTCACCGTAGTGTCCACAGCTGGGACTGCGGTAGTTTGAACATGTTTGGAGGAAGACCCCTGTGCCTTGACAACCACACAGCCTTGGGGTCCCAAAGTGATGATGACTGATCCACAGCCGCGCTTTAGCAGCTCCTGGCTGGCCCGATGTGCTTCCTCCACATTAGCTACCGAGGAACCAGTCAGCAGCTCAGCCTGTATGGAGACGGCAGGAGCAGAGGCAAGACAGTGAAGACATACAACACTGTGTAATCACATATAGAACGCAGTCCTATTTAGCTGATCATTAAGATGAAAAATGTATCTTGTCCTGGAAACAATTCTAAATGATTTCTTAAACATTTTCTTATAAATAAGTCTTTGTTTCTCGATCAGGGAGCTAAGTTAATCAGAGGTTAGAAATGGAAATTAAACAAAGGTCTAAACCAGCACTAGAGTGGGATACCAGGAGGATGCATTATGGAAATTCCCCAAGGCAAACACCCAGAACCACGGCCTGTGTGTAACATGCAAGTCAGAGCAAGGCCTTGAATTTTTGCATTTCAAAAAAAAATTAACTATAAACTTGCATCTCAAAAAAAAAATACATCCCAACCATTTACTATGTCCAAGGATCCCTTATTAGCTATATTACGAGTCTATTACGAGTATTTTGCCTATTTGGTTTAGTTCACTGTTTTATATTAACAGTCCTGTGATGAGTCAGCTCTTAATTACACACCGACTGTGGTCAGACGGACTCCAACACATTCAGTCTGTTAAGGCTTTGCTGGATCCGTCAGCAGTCTGTGGGCCAAAAATTTTCAAAGAGTAGATTCTCTGACTACGCTGGTTCATCTGGCTCCAAGATGACTAAACAGTGACAAAGCAGGACTCCACAGCTGATGTTTGAGGGGAACTTCAAGGCAAACTCGACAACCGCAGCAGTTCTCTCCAGAGTAAGTGGCACCCTTGATAGAGATGAGCCACGTTATTTTTTCCCCCTCTGGTGATTAAAGGCGACTGCATGGCAAGTTTATTTGCAAGCGTCACTGAGAGAATGTTCCGTGATATACAATTTATGCAACGCAAAACCCTGTGAGATTAAATACTGTGACATCATTTTTTTTTTTAAATGACAAATGTTTATTATTGGTATTTATTAATTTGAATATTTTTTACCATTCATAAGCCTTTAAAAAATATATGTTTTTGCTACTCATTGTATTTAGTTGCTCTGACTCGGTTTTCACAAATTTGATGTGCTAAATTATTCTCCTTAAACACAACATGCTGTCCTTACAAATCACAGGCTCATTTCTCAAAATACAGACACCTTACAGACAAATGTCAGTGTGTATTGCGATGTAACTCGTGTCAGGCATTTCTCTTTATTTCCCCTGTTAATTGCTACTTACTTTATAACCACAGCCATACATTTCAATTCCAATAGTGGGGACAAAAAGGAAAAGAAATGCATTTCTTTTCCTTTTGATTATTGTCAAAATGATCAATGCACTAAGTGTATGTTAGAGTAATGTAACTCGTAGTTTAATAGTGTATGTTTTCAGCTTTACTGTGGATGAATGTATTTTAGAAGATTACATTAAGCTTACAAGTGATTGAAATATTTAAGGTTTGTGGTTGTTCCAGAAGAGAAAAAGTACATTTAATTTTGTCTTGTTTGAATGTATGATTAACTGTAGTGTAAAGTCAGTTTCCAGACTCTATCATTTACAGTAATACAGTTCATTCAATTTAAAGAATAAGTAATTTGAAGTACTGACATTTTTTTTATTTATTACAATTTGTATAGCTTCGAGCAAACTCGCAAAATAAGTCACTGTTTGAGAAAATTATTTGATAATAACAATTTTATTTTCAAATGTACCAATGACTGAAATAAAGTTATAAATTTACCGTGTGAGATTTTGCTCAAACTGATTCTGATGTTTTACTTTGTGTGCTATGTCGACATATTGAGAGCATAATTGGGAGTGTACCATTTTGCGTTAAGGGTCCTGCAAATTGTAACTGTTGTGAAAATTGAGCCAAAGAAATGGTAATATACTGTGATGTATTGTTTTTCCTATTAGACCATTTATTTTCTCTCTTACTCTCATCCATTACACACCTCTACATACAGACTGATAAACATAGCCCTCCACACACAACACATGATAGAACATCTATTTGTACACCTGTAAGGGTTTTCATTAATACGTACAAATGACAAGGACAAACAATGTTCAACCTCCCCCCACCCCACTTCCCCAGACCCTTACGATAACACAATGACAAAACATTATCAATAACGTGCTACTGACAAAAGATGAATGACATGAACCCACACAGAAGAAAAACACACACAACACAGTAGTACCGAAATAAATATTTGAACAAAAATTAAATCTACATAAAACATTACCTACCTTGTACTCTCAATGCCGTTCCTGTCTCAAAGGTGATGCGTATTCATATTATTTTAAGAAACATTGTCGCCTTATGTTAGGGTATACAGTATCTAACGCTTGCATTTCTAAGAAATGTAAGAAAACATTTCATGATCTCTTTTGTCAGCTTCTCAGTATAAAAGTTATCTTCTGTAAAATCCTAAATGATGACGTTAACCTATTCTTTAACAGTTGGTCTATTTGTTTTCTTCCAATAAAGAGCAATACACCGTTTGGCTCGCAGGATACGCGTCTATATTCCTTTTTCCTTAGTTTTAGGCTTGAAGGGTACAAGTTGAAAATGTAAATTTTACACATCTTTTTTTTTCACATATTTTATTTCTTTTCAAAACTCATCATCACCTTATTACATTTACACTAATAAAAAAAATGTACACATAAGAAAAACGTTATATTCCATAAATCAAATAATATTAATAATCTTTTGTGCAAGAGAAAAAAACATTTTGGAATATAATTTGTTCACAAAACCACATATGAAAAAAAAGAAAAAGGAATTTGATTCGTGTTCCTTGTAATCTAAAAAAAAAAAAAGGAACAATGTGATCCATTTTAGAGTGGACTTCCCCTTTAATTTGCTGCAGCAAACAACAACTACATATCACCCAGCTATATAAATACTGGCTGTATGGAAAACATACAAGCTTGTTTCTTAATGCTCGCTACTCCTATTAAAAAGCTTGTGTGAGATCCCTTTCAGGTCTGTGGATGAGAGTGACGTGGATCCATTTCGGCACGAGAGGTCCTCCGGTGAGGACATCAAAGATAATTCCCCTCACTATGAAGCACTTCAGTGTAGAAAGTGGGCTGAGGATCAAAGAGTGTGTGAACTTTGTCATCCTAAAGCAACCCCCCCCCCCC